AATGTGGCCAGCTTGGTGAGTGACTATAGTTGTGACCATAGTTGTGACCAAATAAGCTACTTTGGTGAAAGAAAGTAAGTTTTTCACCTAGGATAAGACCATTATGAGTGGTATGTTAACTTTTCAAGGCACTTTTTTTTTCTGGAGCAGAAGCTGACAAAATACAGTCATTTCCATACAGCATTGGTACATTAAGCAAAAAGTGAGGGTCCCTCCAATTCTACCATGCTACATATGAACGTTCATGATAACTCCTTAATGGAAGGAAATAGGCCATAATACAAAACAGTTCAAAACTCATTTATTTGAGATTTCAAATTTCCGTTTTGGGCAGTTTTACCTTCCTTATTATGCTCTGAATCAGAGAGATAATCTAACTAGTTTGCACTGTCTGAAGACACAAACAGAGGGATAGAGACAATAAATTTATTAAAAGCCTGGTGTTGGGACCACCGAGTTCATATGGTTCAATCTTCTCATTGTACAAAGGAAGGAACTGAGGAAACCAGAAAAGGGAAGGCGGATATTGCCCAGAAGAAAAAATTCACTAAACATAAGGATAACTGGGATTGGTAAGGTATTTAGACAGTGACTTTTCATCCGCTTATTTTCTGTTTTTTTCTAAGCATTCATCCATTTCATTTAGGTTATTCATTTTCTTAGAATATAGTTTCTAACAATTTCCTTTATTTTTTCTTCATCTTTTGTCATTTCCTTTTTTAATTTTGGTAATTTGGTTTACCTTCTATTTTATAAATCTTTCCCCAAAACCAGCTCTTATTTTTATTTACCAACTCAGTAGGTATTTTGTCATCAATTTTCTCTTGATTTTCAAATTTTCTATTTTTGTGTTTATTTGTGGTTTTTAAAAATGCGTTACTTTTCTAGTTTGGGTTTGTTGCTGTTGTTGTTGTTTTGTTTTAGAAAACTGTTCACTCAATTCATCGATCTACTTTTTCTCTTTTGTTGACAAGTTAAGCAATATAAATTTGCCATAAAGGACTGTTTTGTATGCATCCCAAAAGCATTGGTATGTTGTCTCCTTTATGACATTTTCTTTGAAAAAAGCATTTATTTATTTTTGACCTACTTATTCTATAGGATTATATTACTTAGTCTTTATTTAAATCTGAATCCTTTCTTCGAATTCATCTTATTAATTAAAATTCTTCTTGTGCTATGGTCAAGAAAGGATGTGTTTAATTTTTCTTCATTAATTTATAAGTTCTTTATATTCTAGCACATCATCACTATTTGTAAAAGAGTCATGAAAAACTGAAAAATATCCATACAATAGTTCTCCTTACAATTCAATAATCACTTAAGGTCTATTATATCTAATTTATATTATAGTCTATTACATCTAATTTTCTAAAATTGTATTTAGGTCTATGATAGGACTAGTATTTATAAGTATTTCCCTGATCTTTTCCCTCACTCACCACATGAGGTGGGCCCCAGTCCTTCCTGCTTCACTATTTTGACGGGAATTAACTTTCCCTAAAAGAGACAAAGCTTTGTCACTGGGCCTGACTGATTCCAGCTTCCTGGTCATCTAAGGGCATAAAAAAAATCTAAGCCTCGCAGACATACATTCATGTGTACCCATGACCATGTAAATTGCCATAACTTGATGGTCTGCTGACCAGATTAATTTCCACAACAAGGCAACAGAGGTCACATCTTTAGTAGATGAAGATAAGTGCCACTGTATCCTTGTTGCAAATATAAATGTAATATAAATACTGCTTCCTTATCTATAGTGTCACTAAAAACAATGTAGTTTCTTTACTTATCTGGATTTAGAGCTAGGAAGATCTGGTTTCAAACCCTGCCTAAAACACTTATTAACTGTGTGATCCTGGGCAAGTTACTAAAACTTAAGAGCCTCAGTTTCCTGATATGTAATATGAATGGGATGAGTTCAATGGTCTCTTAGGACCCTTCCAGCTCCAAATCTACAATCCAAAGTTTTTGTTTGTTTGTTTGTTTTGGCTTTTTTGATGAGGCAATGGGGTTAAGTGACTTGCCCAGGTTCACACAGCTAGTCAGTGTTACATGTCTGAGGCCAGATCTGAACTCAGGTCCTCCTGACCCCAAGGCCAGAGCTCTATCCACTGCACCATCTAGCTGCCCCAACCCAATGATCTTTTAACTATGCTTTTGCTGTTACCTTGTCCAAGATCATGATTGCCATCCCTGCTCCTTTGGATTCGCCTAAGGATTAATACATTATACCTATAGTATATATGTTATCCCTCACCTTTAACTATGAATGAATGTTTCAAATCAGTTTCTTATAATCAGTTTTAGATTCAGCTTTCTAATCCATTTTGCCACCCTTCTCTATTTTATGTGATAGTTCATCCTATTCAGTTAAAATTGTTGGTTGTATTTTTCATTTCACAATACACTCCCTAATAATGTGTCTTCTCTTTGCTCCCACCCCTTTCTTTACAAAGAAAAAGGTGAAGAAATAAAGGGAAATGGATAAACACCAATGATCTATAATTGGAATGGTCTAATTCTGTTCCTTTGCTTTTCCTCGTCCCCCACCAACACCTGACTGAGATTATGAGGGTCTCCTTTTAGCTCTCCCTTTATTTGACTTCTATAGTTAAAGTTTGTATTTCTTGTGACTATTCAATCCTCAACTCTACTACCATCTCTTTTAAATTCCTCATTTCTCTCTCTGCTCCCATTTATTTTCCTGTTGACTGTAATGTAGCTCTATACCAAATGCTTTGGGGCGAGAGATATGTATATTCAACTTTTTTTTGCCTAGTTCATATAAGAGTGAGATTCATGAGATGTCAGTACCCCTCACTCCTATCTTCCGCGTCTGCATATTCTTCTGAAGTCTCCCAATTAAGTGCAATAGTAAATTTCTCCCTCTTATCCCTATGTTCTTCCATAGTATATTCCTTTTTCTTTCCTGTTTCTTTACTCTCTTAAAGCAAGCAAAGCAAAACCACACCCAATCCCTTCAGATGTCTTTCTTTGCTCCATCTTTGACACTTGAAGTAGGTGGAATTTTGAAGGGAGAATGGTCTCTTCATTGCCTATTAGGATGCAAGCATCTGACGATGGTCAAATTTAATTACTTCTAATTACTCAAATGTATTTATATTTTTAGTCTTTACTTGTCTCCTATGTTTGTTTCAAAAATTCTACCCAGCTCTGGTTTTTTCAACAGGAATGCTTGAAAGTCATCTATTCTATTAAATATACAATTTTTTTCTCCTCAGTTTTGCAAGATATTATTCTTGGCTGTGTGCCTTTTTCTTTTGCCTTTTGGTATATCTTATTCCAAGCTTTTCTTTTCTTCATTCTGATTGCTGCAGAATCTTGTGTGTTCTTAACTGTGGTTTATTGGTACTTGATAATTTTCTTCCTGGCTGGCCATCATATTTTCTCTTTGGTCTAGAAGCTCTGAATTTTGGTTAACACTTCTGGGTGTTCAATTTGGGATTTTGATTCATGTATTCTTTCTAGTTTTACTTTGCCTTCTAAGAGCTCTGAACATTTTTTGTTTATGATTTGAATATAATGCCCAGGTTTTTTGTTTCATCATTGTTTTCAAGGACTCCAAAGACTCTTAAATTATCTCTTCTTTTCCTGTTTCCTAAATTATTTGCTTTTGTATCCCCCTTCCCCCCACCCCCATTTTAGTACACATCTCATATATTCTTCAGGTTCCCCCCCAGTTTTTTTAATTTATTCTAATATTTCTTTTTATCTTAATGAATCATTGAGCTCTGTTTCTTTCTTTCTGTTTTGCAGGGTGTCTACTACTTCTGTAAGGTTTTGCATCTTTTCTTTACTCTCTAAATGCTTTAATTTAATTCTCGTTTAGCTTATCCTTCATTTACTTGACCCATTATTAGAAACCCTTGTAGATAATCCATTCTTTTTTTTCCCCTGGAGTTCTACCTGCAACTATTGTGGAGTTATTTCCTTCCTTTGGGGTATTCTCTTGGAATTCTTTAAAATATATTGTTTCTTCAATGCATTGGGAGTTTTCTTCTGTTTATTCATGTCTTCAGCTTCATTTCCTAGACTGGAACTCTGTTTCATGATCAGGCTCTGCTACCCACTTCCCTACACTGAACTCTTGGGTGGGGTGGCTAGGTCCAGTCCTATTTCCTGACAGTGACTATTCAGTGTTCAAAAACTATGATTGAACTTACACACTCATATTGTCACAATGTTAGAATATACATGCTACATAAACTGCCCCTTCTTTTCCAACTTCCAAAAGCCCAGTCAGAAGAATGCTAATAGAGAGTCCAGTCAATTTATCTTTTTCAAACTTTACAGAGGCTCATGGATTAGTCCAGCATTTGCTATTAGTGCAGAATTATTCTACAACTTGAGTTCACATAGAATTTACAATGAATTTGTGGAAATCAAGAGTGACAGAGCAAATTATCTAGCATCTATAAATCTGAAAACTAAAGCCAGTCACCAACTAACTGGCTTGATCAAGTGGCTCTTCTCTGCAGGCCCCTGTTCCCTCCTCTTTAAAATGAGGAATGAGGGAAGCTTAATTGCCAACTAAATTCCATGATTCCACGATTCTTGATGAGATTCTTATCCTCTATCTTCATAAATGTTCCTGGTAAGCAGAAAACCTCATATTATCTTTTTTTTTAAATTTAACATGGCTTTAAATTTTTCCTTTTGGAAAGAATTGCTGTGTTGTACCATTTTATTAGATTTGCAGGGGGATAACAGCATTAAGAGCAATACTGTCTTCAGGTGACAGATTTTGTGGCAGGTTTTGATGATCATATGCCATGAAAATATGACACCTGTACCTTCATTCAAATGTCCTTTTGGTAGCATTTTGTTTGAAGAATAAAGGATATTCTTTGACAGTCAATAATGAAGCCGGGATACACTGAAGTCTACCTGCTGACAACCAAGAGCTATGCTGAAACATCAAAAGATCCCCTCCCAGAACCTTCATAACAGAGGGACAGGGAAGTTAGACATACCTGCCAGGGCTTTTTCATAGTTCTTCCCCATGGAAATGAAGTTCCTGAGGCTAGGGTTGAACTGTTCCATAATTGTCTGGAAAGAGAGAAAAAGAAACAAAAACATTAATGTCTCAAGTACAGATGACTACCTGAAGCTTCAAGATTCTGGCCAGGAGGGAGGGGGTAGAAGGGAGAAGAGACAGTAAAGGATATGGACATCTTGGCAACAAACTTGTTCTCATAGCATCACTGACATCACATTGACACAGCATGAATAAGCTTGGAAAAGATCATCCAAGACTTCCTCCAGCCCTGAGCCTTTAGGCAGGTTTTTCAGTATATAAATATGCGGGGCAGACATTTCTCAAACATGGAGTAATGCTCAAACCTGAACTGTATTTTCTAAATGGGAGCTGAACTAAATGATCTCTAAAGTTCTCTTTCACTATAGTCCTATAAAAATGTGTAAATTTCAGGTCTTATGAAGCAATGATATTTAATCAGACAACAGTATTGATGAGATAGGTGTTTCAATACTGTGAATATCCCAACTAGTTTTATATTCCATGAAGGACCAAAGTTCAAGTGCCAACAATCATATACTATACTAAGGAATTAGAAGAAATTTTACTGTTAAAGCCAAATAGCCACTTTTATCATAAGGCTCAAAAACAGCTCCAACATTAGCTGACATCAAACTAGACAGCTATGTTAGAAGGAAGCCATGAACCCAAACAAGCAAAAAATTCAAAGTCTCTGATGAAACTCAAGTTTATAGATGGTTTATTATCTGTACATTATCTTAACTGTGGTAAGAAAAGAGAAGTTAAAGGAGGAGGAGAAATTGATTATCCTAGTCTTATATATTTGATGGCTATAGCAATTTCTATACAGACAATTCTCACTTTACACAAGTTCAACTTTATGTAAAGAATTCTGAATAGAAATCCACATTCCAAAAAACCACCTATGCTAACTTTACTATACAATTCTGTGTTCTCTCTCTGCTCCTGACTCTCAGCTCAGCACTCTGCAGCCTCCCACTTCACCAAAAAAAACAAAACAACAACAACAACAACAAAACTCCAAGTAAAAGCAAAAGAACTGATGGGGAGAGACCATTATTTAAGACAGGGACTTGGATTGAGACCTCCTGTGTGAAGAGAGGAGACCTTTGCCCCTACTCTACCCACTGGCCCTTGTGCCCAGACCCTACTGTCCTTGAACCATATGCTTGCTGGGGCCCCTCCCTCCACAAGCATGGGGCCCTCCTCTTGCCTCCCTCCCTCTCTCTATTCCCCATGGCCTCAGCAAATATGCATTACTTAATCTTTAAGTAGAGGTCTGCACTTATGTAAAGCAAGAACTGTCTGTATATGGAAAACCAAGACATTCCACTGTGGTTAATCCCTCACTGAGGCAGGCAGGCAGCCAGGAAGCATTCATTAAATGTTTACTCTGAGCCAGACACTGTAATAAGCTCTGTGGATACGTCCCAACCCTCAAAGGGCTCACAATCTATTGGAAGAAACAATATGCAAATAACTACATTCTTATAAAATACATACAATATAAATGGAAGGTAATTTTAAAGGGAAAGGTGCTAGCAGTATGGGAAAGTGAGCTGAGTCTCAAAGGAATCCAAGGAAGCCTGGAAACGGAGGTGACAAGAGATAGGATCTAAAGAATGAGGGACAGCAAGAGAAAAGGCATAAAGTTGGGAAATGGACTACTGTAAGCAAGAAACAATAAGTAGTCCAGTGTATCTAGAGGTACATAAAGTGTAACATGACTGGAAGGGAAGAAAGAAGCCAGGTTATGAAGAGCTTTAAATGTCAAACAGAAGACTTTATATTTGATCCAGGAGGAAGGAGGGCGGCACTGGATTTTACTAAGGTGGTGAGATGAAGGGGCAAGTGACATGATCAGAGCTGGATTTTAGGAAATCACCCTGGCATTTGAGTGGAGGATGGCCTGGAGTGGGGAAAAACTTCGGGCAGGAAGGTCAACCAGTAGGTTCTTGAAATAAACCAGGAATGAGGTGATGAGGATTCTATATCAGGGGCACATACTGTTTAGGGTAGAGTGATCCTAGTGGGTTGGAACTGTGGTAGAAATTTAGTAGCAGGGCCAAGCATATATCCAGCCTTCCCACTCATTTCTATTCCCATTCTATTCATTGCTACCCACTAATTCGCTGTATTAGCTCAGCAGAATAAAGAAGGGTATTTAAAGATGCTGAAGAGAAGGTGTTTAGAAGGGCAAGAGCTCCAGAGAGCCATTTCTGTGGTCCTCGCTCCATTAACCCACCCTTCTTTGGACCACAGTAAAAATCACAGTAACAGAAATAGTCCTGCAGAGCAAATAGCTGCAATCCAAGACTCATTCTTAGGGTAGTCTTAAAGCTTAAACAGCCAAACCACTTGATGCCTCTAAGAGTTGGAATCAAAGGACCTAGGTTTCAATCCCGATTTGGCTACTTACTTCTTGTGTGCCTTTGGTCAAGTCACTTGTTCCCAGGTTCCTCACCAAAAAAAAAAAAAGGCAGAGGGAATGGATTGTGGCATATGAATGCAATGGAATATTAGTGATGCCATAAGAAGTGACAAAAAGTATGGATTAAAAGAAACCTAGGATCATAAATGCAATCCTTTCAGTCACTGAATAGCAGCTGATAAAAGTTTTTTACAAAAATCGGCTATAGCAACGTATAACACAAGATTAATGATTGTGTTGAAGTTTAAATAGAAATATATCAGTACTTAATATTTTTGATAAATAACCTTTCAATTTTTTTATGCCTGTAGCATTTATACTTATGAAGTTATTAAAGCTAAAACTGTACCAGGGACATACTTTATACAAAGTAACATGCTAGACACTAGAGATACAAAGATAAAAATGAAACACACCTTGCCTTCAAGGAGTTTATATGCTAGTGAGGGATGGGGACGGCTGGATACAACACATAAATTCAAAGTCATACCAAGTCATTTCAAGAGGGATCATGTAAACTGATACCAATTCATAGTCAAAGGACAGATAGGAATATGGTGCTTACCTGAAAATTTCCTTCATTCAAGTCAACCAAAAAATATTTATTTTGCTCCTACTATGTATGTGTGCAAGGCTTTGAATTAGGTACCTGGGGGAAGGTTTTAAAAAAAAAAAGGAGGCTCAAAGATCTTGTCCTCTTAAGGATCCCCAGTGACCCCTCCTGTATCTAGTCATTTACATACAGGAGTAAAAGACAGATTAAGGCATGTCATAGTTGAGCAGTAGGATAACCTTGGCCTGTTTCTGGGGCTTTTAGACAGTGGAAGGAATCCCATGAGGGAAAGAGAAAGAAGACTAACCAAGTAGGAGCTCTCTTTTCAAACTTTAATAAGCTATGAATGTTGGATGGGAAACACCCAGTGCCTTCTGTGGTAAATCACAGTGGATTACCCTGACACCACAGCTGGCAATGCCCAAAGTGTAGTGACTCTATGGAAACAGCAGTGAGGTTTCACTTCCTTAGATTCATTGGCAGAGATCATCCAGGAGGAATGCAGGTGTGAGTGGGTGGGGACATAAGGGAGGGTTCAAATGCATGCCAATATCACTGTCATCTGGGTAAATGCCACTAGGCTACCTCTCTCCTGGGAAATATACTCCTGGGTGGAGAGACCAGTCAGCCAAGAAACTGTCATTACTGCAAAATAAGTAATACTGTGTCTCAAAAGCTTTGGGTCTCCAACTGTACAAGTGTGGGGCGTGGGAGAAGGGCCAGAATATGGAAGAGGGGAGATATATGAATACTACATAGTACAATTTTCTGGATACTGCAGATTCCTTCTTCATTAGCAGAGAAAACAGTATTTCTCCCCAGAAGGGAAAAAAGTCTGTCCATCCCACTCCCAGGCCCAAATAATAGACCTTTTGTTCAATACTTAGACTCCCAGCTATGAATGGGTCATCCAACTCTTCTCTCTGTCACTCAATCTCTCTGTAACTATGGCATCTTAAAAGCAAGACAAGTTCAAGAGCTGACCTTTGCAGGGCGGTGAACACAATGCCATGTGAAAATGGTCCCAGGCTCTTGAAATGAGGCAAAAGATGGATGGGTTGCTGGCAGCTCTCCATAGTTAAGGTCAATAGAGCCCCAGTCCAAGTGCAATCATTCTGGATCCTATTAGACCATATCTCCCAGGTTTCCATTCTGACACTGGAGAAGTTTCTGTCATCTCCAACATCACACAGCTCAAACTAAAAGGCTAAAGGACTAAGTATTTATAAAGTCCAAATGTATGTGTTACTGTTTGAATCTAGAGCAAAGGCAAGGGCAGTGTTTAGTAAGAGAAGGGTTATACACTGATCAACAGGCATGCTCCCTTCCCTACCCTACCTCACCTCCACTTCCTCCACTCCAAAACAAAATCCAGTAGCACAGAGAGCCCTGATGCTGCTTATCTGGGGGTTTGGTTTTTTAAAACTGAAAAAACCCTACATTCACATTTATTAATTAACAGCTTTTCTTTTTACATTACTTTCATTTCCAAAAATGCTTCCCTGCTCTTCCCCCAAAGAACCATTTTTAAGAATGATTTTTTTTAAAAGGGAAGTGAGCAGTTCAACAAAACCAAGCAACCTGTCCACTAAGTGTGACAGTATACCCACTGTTCCACAGTCCATAGTCCATAGTCTAGCACCTCTTCAATGATGAGTCTATAGGTATACATTTTCTCATTTCTTCTTCAGGACCAAGCTTAGTCATTATAATTGGACAGTATTCAATTTCTTTTGTTGTTGTTATTTCTGTTTCCATTATTGCAGTCATTGAGTATATTGTTTTCCTGGTTCTTCTCACTTTACTTTGTACCAGTTCCACAAAATCTGCCCCTTCTTACAACACAATGATATTATAGTCATAGACTACATTTATTTATCCATTCCCCAATTATCAAGTGACTACTTTGTTTCCAGATCTTTGCTACTTCAAAATGTGCTACTATAACTATTTGTGCACACATACACACACACACACACACACACACACACACACACAAAGAGTGAAATCTGTGGAATATAGACATTTCGGTCATTTTCTTAGCA